CCTCATAATTCAGTATAGTAGAGGTTTCTCTGCTATGTCAGAGGTGGGCAAACTATGGCCCACGGGACCGTCCTGCCGGGCCCCTGAGCTCCTGGCCGGGCAGCTAGCCCCCGGCTCCTCCCCTGCTGTCCCCCCTCCCCTGCAGCTATGCCGCCGCGCGGGCAGCACTCTGGCCGGCGGGGCTGCTCGCTCATGCTAGGCAGCACGGCAGTATGTCTGGCTCCGGGAAGGCATGGTAAGGGGGCCAGGGCCGGGGGGTTGGATATGGGGCAGCGGGTCCTGGGGGGCAGTCGGGGACAGGGGATGGCTGGATGGGGCAGAGGTTTGGGGGGGCAGGGGATGGGGAACAGGGGGGATTGGATAGGGGGTGGGGTCCCAGGGGGCCTGACAGGGGGCGGGGGTGTGGATAGGGGTCGGGGCAGTCAGGGGACAGGGAGCAGGGGAGGTTGGATAGGAGGTGGGGCCCGGGGGGCGGGGGTCCCGGCAGGGGGCGGTCAGGAGACAAGGAGCAGTGGGGGGTTGGATGGGTGGGAGCTTCTGAGGGGGGCAGTCAGGAGGTGGAAAGTGGGAGGGGTCGGATGGGGACGGGGGCCAGGCTGTTTGGGGGGCACAGACTTCCCTACCCGGCCCTCCATATAGTTTTGCACCCTGATGTAGCCCTCGGACCAAAAAGTTTGCCCACTCCTGTGCTATGTACCAAACTGTTCTGGACTTCATTTGAACAGCTCCTTTCAATGGCAGTTAATCAGCCAACAACCACACTGTCAGATGTAATGATGAAAGAGGCGAAAGATCTCACTTCTGTTTTGCAAAATCATGTCAGATAGAACAAGTGGTGTGATCAGGGGCTGTGTTGACAGGTTCATCAGCTCAGAGTATCAGAACTGTCTGGGCCAAGCTGGGTCTAGCATAATAACTGAAGCTGAACCTTGTCTGAGTTTCCTCAGGATCCCTGGTCTTAAATGGATTGGCAGAAGGCATACATGAGCCTCCGTGCCTATGAGACTACAGAAAGCCTGAACTCAAAACCCCTCTGGAGTAGAAGACACGGCATTTTTTGTTCTGGTCTGTGGCATACAGGTCTATTTCTGGATACCATATTGCAAGGGACCATTAAAGATTAATTGGCCTGTTAACAACCCTTCAGTCATGGGGGAAAGGCCGGGGAGAAGGCAACTTGTCAGAGGGGTTGTTAGTGGGATTGTTGTAATAAGCCATAAATCTAGAGTCCTATTTAGTCAATGATTTTTAGGGTCTAGCAAAATTATAAATTTAAACTCCCAGGAGTCTCTTTTGAAGATGTGCAGATTTCCTGAGAAGTCAGATAGAGTGATCATTTTTTTCTGAAAAGTGTTCACCCACGTGGTGTTTTTCTCTTTTATGATTTTTCTGTGTTAGCTCATTTGAGAGCATAGTGCCTGTCTGGTTTCACTCACATAGTTGTTATTGGGGCATTTAGTGAATCGGATGAGGTATGCCACATGTTGCAGGACTCTCATATCTTGAAAGTTGTTTTGGGGAGAGGGTGTCAATCATTGTAGCCATGGAGATATGTCTACAGGTTTTGCATCTGTTGTTCTGGCAGGGGTCTGGTAAAGATTTGAGTTGATGTGTCCTGGTCTGTGGGGAACTTGCTTCTAATGATGAGTTTGGAGAAGCTGCGGGCTTGTTTGAAGGCCAGAAGAGGGGTTCAGAAAATATTTTTTTCAGGATGTGGTCCCCATAGAGTATGGGTTTAATGCTATCTCATATGGGTTCCAGTGTGGGATGGTAGGTGACAACTACGGGTGTGTAGTCAGAGGGGTTTTTATTTCTGTATTGAAGCAGGTTCTCTCGGGGTATTTGGGTGTCCCGTTCCATAATGCAATCTACTTCTCTGGTGAAGTGTTCTTGTTTGGGGAAGGCGGTTTTAAGCGTGTTAAGGTTTACATCCCACTGTAGCACTTAGTGAAGAGCTTCTCCCATCAGCATAGGTACTCCACCTCCCGAGAGGCAGTAGCTATGTCGACGGGAGAAGCCCTCTCATCAACATAGTACTGTTTACACTGGGGGTCAGGTTGGTATAACTACGTCAGGTATAAATTGATAGTGTAGTCCAAGCCTCAGTATCCAGGGTCTCCACAATTCAGGACAGGAGGTCCAGGAAGGCTTTAGAATCAACCTAGCCAGGGTGGGGGCTGGTGTCTCTGCCTTGTCTGGTGGTGAGGAGGATTCCTTAGGGGATGACAGGGCTCACTGTTGTCTCTCTATCATCTCCTGTTCCTGTGGGCCCACCTCTCATTCCACTGTGGATGGGCTAGTCAGCGAAGCCATCAAGAAGCATGATCCATTCCTTTTTCTACATGTAGGAGAGGCTAAACTACTCCTTCACATGTGGGAGGATGATCCACAGTAAGGTCAATACAGCCAAACAAGGTGCCATGTTTATGGGTATTGACCAGGTTGGAGCTGGTTGGCCCATGCCACTCCAGAGTCAGTTGAGGTGGTACTCTGAATGTGGGCTCCCCAATATCCTCCTTGAGGTCATTCTCCAATGGCAGGGAAGAAGGATCTCTGTTCCATGTCAGCAAGAAGGGATACATCAGCAATAGTGAGGAGGAATATATCTCCTCACTGAAGGACAGTACTGAGGGACTGAATGGGGCCAACTGATGAACTTCCTTGGCTTCATCACAGGCATTGGTACTGGGATCGTGGCAGGTCCCTTGTTTTGCCCAACTGTTTAAGGGTTTTTTCCTTGGAGAAACATCCCATGTCTTCCCCCTGGTAGTTCCTCTCAGTCTTGGAGCTAGGTTTATGCTCGGACAGGCTACATCAGTGGGCGTCCAGTTTATAAGTGGATGCAGTGCCAGCTTTACTCGCTGAGTTGGGGCAGTCAGTAAGGAAGCCAAAGTTCTCAGCACCAGATTTACCAATGCCAAGTCTGTCAATGCCAAGGTGCATAGTGCCAAGCTCTTAAGAGGCAGTTGACATCCTCAGTGTCAACTCTGCCAGTGTCCTCTTTGACTTATTTCCACTGCTTGATCTTGGAGTTCGAAGAATACTCAAGGGATCACTGGTCGATGCTAATTTAACCAGCCTCACTCTGGTCATAATTGTCACATCTGGGGCCAAAGTGACCTCTATGGACTGCTCAAGTAGATGTAGCTTCAGCCATGCATTCCTAGACTTGCAGGTCCTAGTGGAGAAGTTCTTGCACACAAAGGAATTATTCAGGATGTGACTCTCTCCTAAGCAAGAGAGGCATTAGCTTGTCTGTCCATGATAGGGAATAGTTCATTGCAGGACCGGCAGGGTTTGAACTCTGTCACAAGGCATGGGAGCTGGCAAGAAGCACTTTACCCTGCTGCACATGGGGTGGGGAGGTGTCACCAATCAATACCCTTTAGAGAACAAATTTGATTATAAGAATTCTTCACTAAGCACCTTAAAAGATCTGGCTTAAAGTGTCTGAAGAGAGTTGCAGGTCAGAGATTTGCTAAGGCAGTGGGGGAACTGGGTTGTGGCTGCTCTGCCTTTTATGCCATTGTGTGAGAGCTATTCAAAATATCTGATCTTCTGTACATGAGGCCTGTGCACACCTACAGTGGGACTACACTGACACATACTTGAAGAGCTAATAACAGAGAAAAAGAAATGAGCTTAAGAAACCAGACAAACTTTAGTAAAGAGAGAGAAATTCCTGCGACAAATGTGTGAATTTTCTGTAATATTTCTGTGAACTATATGCATCTCCTCACTGCACTGGAGGCAGAAGGGTTAACGTGCTTCTCCTGGAACAGAGCAGGAGGCATGAGAGGTTTGGGTCACGTAGCTGTCTGGGGTGGTAAGAATGCGCCATCAAGAGCTGGCTGGAATTAGCACAAAGCAATGAAGGGTCCAGAAAAAAAATGGGAAACTCAATGACCAAACATGAATCCTTGGCAGGAGGCTAGAGCTCAGAGGAAGCAGAGCAGGATGAAGCCCTGGTTCCACCAATATGGACTCTATCATAAGTCTGCCACTCTCATACTAACCCAAAGACTTTCTGTGCTACAGGCGACAAATAAAGGTTACCTTGCTGGGGAAAGGCAGCCTGGTGTTGCTGCAGTTACTTAAGAGCATTGCACCCTGAAAGGAGAAATATCTCTTGCAGGAGTCTGGCTCAGCTAGACTCCCTGAAGGGAGCCACAGAGAAAGAGGTGAAATTGTAGAAGCCATGGTCCTGCACCTGGAAAACACTGGGGGATCCAAGGGGTCCAGCACAGTAAAGGGGTACTCCCAGGAGACTGGTTAAAGGCTAAGACACAGATCAGACTCTGGGAATCTGTGACAGCCACCTAAGAACTGTAGAGGGATTTCACGTAAAGAGATGTCTTTAGGGCAGTAACTGTTCCAGCTGCTGCATTAGGGCATGTCTACACTACAAAATTAAATCGATGTACAGCCACCACAGTAATTAAAGTGGTGGTTCATGTCCACCTTCTGTCAGCTGTGCGCATTCTCACCAGGAGTGCTTCTACTGACTTAACTGTGTGGGGCACTGGGGGGCACTGACACCTGGAACTCCCCAGGGCTGACAGCCAACAGAAGATGTAAGTAACGCAGTGTCCACATGGGCACTGCGTCACCCTAACTACATCTACCTACACCTCTCGCAGAGGTGGAGTTATTAGGTCGCTGTAGTGGGTGACTTACATTGGTGGGAGCTACATTTTAGTGTAGACGCTTACAGAGCTAGGTCAATGTACGTTGCCCTAGGTCAACCAAACTCTGTAATGTAAACCAAGCCTTAAAGGCATAGGAAGAGGGAGGAAGGGAATCTAATTTAATGCTGGTGCTGAGCCCCAGGTGGAAGTTTAAGTTGCTACCTCCAATTTCAACGTCAACTTCAAAGCCTTAAAACCCACAAAACAACATGATAATATGTTTAGTCCATGAGTCAATGTCTACATTGACTATACTGAGCTTTAATTCTTTAATTTTTATCAGTAACCTTGTTAGTGAAATTCAGTGTTTACCTTTAGTTGATCCAGTTGAAGCTTGTTAGCATTTTCACACACAATGAGCACATTCTGTAGATCTACAGATGCTTCAATATACTGGAGGCAGAGCTGTTCCAGTCGCGAGAGCTTGAAATTCAGGGCTAGTTTGTACACGTCCATGATAAGTAGTACATCCTGCACATGACCTGTACATCACAAAGGGAAACAGTATCATTCCACAGCTCTAGAGAGCTTTCTAATATAAGGGTCTTCAGAGATGTCCAGTGAGGTCAGAAATTTTCCCAAACCAATTTCTGATGCCATCTTGAATAATTAGGATAGCACAACCAAGGGAGATTAGTATTATGATCATCTAGTCTGATCTCCTGTTTAACACAGGTCACAGAGCTTCCCCAGAATAGTTCCTAAGGGAGATTTTTAGGAAAACATCCAATCTTGATTTTAAAATGGTCAGTGATTAATGGTTAATTACTCTGTTAAAAATGTATGCTTTATTCCTGTCTGAATTTGTCTAGCTCAACTTGCAGTCATTGCACTGTTATACCTTTCTCTGGTAGACTGAAAAGCCCATTATTAAATATTTTTTCCCTATGTAAGTCTTATAGACTGTAATCAAGGCACTCCTTAACCTTCTCTTTGTTAAGATAAATAGAATGAGCTCCTTGACTCTGACTACAAATCATGTTTTCAAATCCTTTAATAATTCTTAAGTATCAGAGGGGTAGCCGTGTTAGTCTGGATCTGTAAAAAGCAACAGAGAGTCCTGTGGCACCTTTAAGACTAACAGATGTATTGGAGCATAAGCTTTCGTGGGTGAATGCCCACTTCATCGGATGCACGGGCATTCACCCACGAAAGCTTATGCTCCAATACATCTGTTAGTGTT